TCAATAAGCAATCCTGAAAAATATTTGGGGGTGCTTAACTTTTTTCCAGGTGTATATAATCAAGAACTTGTCATACAAGTAATTATCTCTCAAAACTGAGAGAACTAAGGATTCATGTAAAAGTTAAGCCTATTTCTCATAGGTACTATCAAAGACTTTGTCTTGTCACTATCAGTATATAAAGTTTGTGTTCCACCAAGGCTTTAGAACTCTTACATTTCAGCCTCATGGGCTTCTAAGATCTGTTGAACTTGTAATATTATATAGATATACCAGATGTTTGTGGTATAAACATACATTTAACTAGAGGGGCACATACCTCTGCCACGCAGCGTTGATCACATTTGCTCCTCAAAAAATACAAAAATGTGTCTGTTGTTATCAACGGACACTAACCATTTTTGGTAGAACTATGAGGAATAATATTCTACAAATGCCCACCAACTTCCATCAAAATCCAATTGTTTTTGACTGAGTTATAGAACAAAAATAGTGCGAAAAATTTATCAGTTCCCATGTTAACAGATGGTGACTTTTGTGACCTTGACCCTGACCATCCAAAAACTAATCACTTCTTAGTTGGGTCATAATACAAATGTATACTAACTTTAGTCCAAATCCATTCAGTCGTTTTTGAGAAATCTTGCTGACAAACACATACATGGGGGGAGAAACATAACCTTTGTCACCTTCAATGGTGGAGGTAATAATACATATTACAATGGACAACCTGTAACTGGTAGTCTAGAAAAGAAACAAAGGGAGTGTATAGGCAAAACATGTCTGCTTATTACACCTGCTAAGCCTATTATATTTATCAGAAGATGAGAAATTATTTATGTAATTTTTTTATTAAAGGATATCATACCTAAAAGTCGGACTCTAGTTGTGTTTCCATACAGATCAAAGAAAGCCCACAGATTAAGGGTATGGTCAACATGCATCACAGTGGTTGGAGGTTGCCGGTTTTTCACAAACTGTACTTCACCTAGTGAGAGAATACAGACTTATCAATTCTTTCGTTTGTTTAAATAATTACTGCTACTAAAGTTTCAGTGTTAAAAACTAAAGTGTTAACAAGTAGTTCAATTAGCAATGTGTTAGGTATTTAAGAAGTTGACATTCTTCACATTTTACTTTACAGATGTTTTTACACATGGATGAGTTACTTAAGTTATTTTATTAATTTCTTTAGTCACAGAGTTGTGAAAATAATTACTTAAGACATTTCAAACAAAAGAAGTAATTGATAGCCTTTTCCTCAACTCTTACATCAACAAGCTTAATTTTTAATTTACTTTAATCAATTTGCAATAATTTGCTAGTTCTTTTTAGCTTTTAAATTGTTTTCAAATCAGTTAGTACAGAACATACCACTGTTAGTAATTAGAAATGTTAACTCATCTCCAAGCTGAGGAGAGTTAGCAACATCTTTCTTCACCACCCAATACTCTGGCCTGTCTAAAAGGGAGTCTGCATCTTCAGGAAGATCAGCTCCATTCACAGTGGCAGGGTCACAGCTAGTCAGCCCAAATGCCATAGCCCCAACATACATTTGCTCTGTTTTAGTGACCTGGATAACAAGTCGTTCACCCGCTCGTAGTGGACGAGAGGTAAAAACATACCCATAACAATAATGACTATCATTTCTTTCTGCAACCATCCTGAAAATCATTTCAAATTTTCTTTTAGTATCTCTGATTGTTCTGATTTTTGCAATGGATCATGGAATGTAAATGATTCATGTAAAACAAATATATACATACATATATATATAGAATTGAGGAAAAACAAGACTACTGTACATTTCACAAATACATCATGATGCCTTTACAGGCAAAACCATGGTTGTAATAAATTATTTATTTGTGAAACACAAATTTTTGTCTTCATCTACAAACACGGAATATATGTTACTGAAGGAAAATGACAAGCATAAGAGTAAATAACTGAGAAAATTTTGTACCTGTCATTTGAAAGATTTATATTACAACCCTTGGTGCGGTGGAACTGTAACTGTGAAAATGTTATGCCTCGGTAGAACCTAACAGGTAGCTCAGGCTCCGAAGTTTCCAAAGTAATAGCTGAAAGGGCTGGAATGATAGAATCAATATCAGGGGTACTCTGTTGCCTCCTGGTGTTGTTAAGATGTTGTCTTGAATCTATACATCAAAAGAGGTTTGGAAGTTTATTATTTCTTTAACATGAATGTATTTTTACAAAACAGTTTCATTCTTAAACTTTGTGCTTTCATTGGTAGAAATACTTAATGGTGCAACATTTGGAGACTGTGAGATGGCAAAGCTTTATGGAAAGGAACTGTCTACCATCAGTGAGTTCAATATCAGCAAAATAACATTTTTGATGTAGAAAAGACAAGCAGATTTCAATTGTGTATCTGCATGAGAAAACTTGCTGTCAAAAATTTGCTTATATTAGCAACAACAAACCTGTTTTTATGTAGATATCTAAATGATAGATAGGTGCATATAGAATGTGGACTGGTATCTATTTTTCAATTCATTTTACATTCAATAAATTAGCAAATAGAGTACTTAACAAAACTATCAAATAATCTAAAATCTATTTTACATATTCTTTCAAAAATTTAATATAATAAGCTCAGTTTCTTTCCACGTTATGTGATGTAAGTCACTTTTAGAAGACTTCAAGTGAAACTCAGTTTACAAGCAAGTCAAAAGGAAATAACTACAGTTCAATAAGATTATATAATACAAGCAAAGACTGTGGCTTTCAGATGTAAGGACTGATACTTTAGTTTTTTACAAGCCTTCAGATGTCTACAGAATGTTCATTAACTTGTGCAAAATAATTTACCAGTTGTCAAAATACTGGCATAATATATACTAGAAATAGATTGTTTCAGAAATCTGTGAAATAATCACTAATGACAGTTTGAAAGCTACGAGTTCGATGCTACTAAGTTATAATCTCAGTGTTTTACTTACATTTCTTTTTTGCAAGTATATCATTCTTTCTAAAATCTTGATTTTAGTAAAAGACATTTAAAAATTGTTTAACACATTGATGTTTGACCACATAATTTTGTTTTTTGTGATAAAACTGAGTCACGGTAATGTACACTATCCTACCAAAAGTCATGGGACAGGTAGTTATGAATAAAACCTCTTTATTCCAAGAAATTAATAGTATATTGGTCCACCTTTGCCCTTAATGACTGCTTCAATGTGTCATGGAAGACTGTCTACTAATATCTGGTATAAAACTGGTGGTATTGTGCTCCACTCCTCCTTTAAAGCATTAGTAAGCTCTTTTACTGAAGAGGGCCATCTTGGCCTTGCCCTAATTCTGCATTCTAGTTCCTCCCAAAGATGTTCTATCGGGTTGAGGTCGGGGCTCTGTGCTGGCCACTACAATATCCCGATGTTATTATCTTTAAACCATGCGTTCACAATCCTTGCTTTGTGACATGGAGCATTATCATGTTGGAAGGTGTAAGGGGTAGTACCATAAAATTGCCACAATTTAGGACACATAGAATTGTTCAGAACATCACTGTAGGACTCAATATTCATGGATCCAGTGCAACCAGTGGATGTAGACCATACCACGAGAAGCAACCCCCAGACAGTTATACTGCCACCTCCAAACTTCACTGTTGGGACAACACACTCAGGTAATGAGCATTCTTTAGGCATTCTCCACAGGACTGATTTTCATTGATCCATGGTCCAGTTTTGGTGTGCCTTACCCCGTGCCAATCGACGGTGTGCATTTATTTTTTTTTATCAATGGCTTCTGGGCTGCAGCTCTTCCATGAAAATTGATGGCATGCAGCTCTTGATGTGTTGTGGAAACACTTATAGGATTGCCTGTGGCTGCTCGCATCTCCAAACACAGATTCTCTATGGTCTGACAGTAAGATGAGGTAACCAGCCTTCTCAAGGTGTGTTGGCTCCTGTCAGTCAGTATTTTACACCTACCTAGTTGTTTCTTGGGTTAGTTGTCACCTATGGACTTCCATTTCTTTAGTGCATTGCCAATTGTTGACCTGGGAATGTTTAATTTTTGTGCAATAGTACGTACAGACATATTCCCCAAATGACATCCAACTATCCTTCTCTTCTGAAACTGTTAGCTCTTTCTGTGTACTCAACGTTCGGCATACAAATTCAAAATGTCTTCCGTGTGAACTGCTGATCACCTTTATAGGCCAAACTATTTGCATATTCTGTTGTCACACCCATTTTCCTGCAATCAGAGGTGTGTTCCATGACTTTTGGTAGGATAGTGTATGTTAATTACATTTTGGCTATTATTAGTTTGTAAGATGTCAAACATCAACAAAAATTAATTTTTTCAATAATTAGACTTAAGATTAACTTATATTAGAAGTTTTGTGCATTAGTTACTGTTATTAGTAAATTAAATTTTAACAAAGACTAAAATGTTCACAGTTTTACACTGTATGAGCACAGAAATGCTTCCCATGATACAGGGTGTCCAAAAAGACTGGAACCATAGGTGATTTGCAGCTTTTCTTAATTTCAGATATGCGACTGATTATGGCTCTGTCAAAGCATGAGAAAGTCAAGTTAATCCTACTGTGTGGCAGAGAAGTTTGGTCCTAGTGAAAGGTTTCTGGCAAATTTAATGAGAGAGAAAAATATCATTCACAGTGCTATTGAGAAGTTGCTAGCTAAATTTAAAGAGATTGGCAGTGTGAACCATTTAATAATGATACAAGTATGCTTCACAGCATTCAAAGAGAATGGAAATACTGTCTATAAATTTGTTTCGAATTACTAAGGACAGAATGTGGAACACATTGTGTAAAATTCATTGAAGTGCCTACAGTTACAGACCTTCTGGACCCACCGAAGTTCTTACAGAGCTAAAGAAGAACTGAACTTACCCACAAGTTCCATTGCCACAGTGTTTCCATAGACGTCTAGTAAAGCCCACAAAGGTGTGCTCACGTTTACTCCACTGAAGAATATTCCTTTTTCCTCCCCATTAATTGAAAAGTGGACATCACCATTGTCATCCACAAAATAAATTAGAACTGTATCTCTCCTGGCAAACCGTTCACCAAGGGCCTTTGCCCAATTTCCAGGTTTATTAGTCAAGTCTGGGCAAGCATACTTGGGTAAGGCTGATCGAAAGTTTGAGGGGTCATTGGCAGTAAATCCAAAACGTAGTGCTCCACTCCAACTACTGGAAGTTTCAGCAAATTTTAAAATAACACGCTCATTTACTTGAACTGGCCTGCTACTGAATGCAATACCTTTACAAAAACTCTCAGTACGACGAGCTACAGCACCATCTCTTGACACCCTGATATTTTCTCCATGTACACTGTGGAAGAGGAGGGGTGGTAGGTTGTTAGTCCCTTGGTTGCTAGGACTACGGGAGTAAGAAGAAGCTGTAAAAAATAGAACAAGTTCAGTTCTTTAATTCAAATTGCTTGACATATTATACTGCATGTTTAATGCTGAAATATAAAATGAAAAAAAATTGCTTCATGTTGTGGAACAGTATATCAAGAATTCATATTTTAAAATAATAATTTTAAAACATTTTATTTTAAACATTTCTATACATAATCTACACCAATTTAGGCTTCAGGATGTACAAGCAATGAAAAAGACTCACAAATGATATAATAGATGAAAGAAAAAATATCACTGACTGTGCCACCATTAATACTTCCTAGAACATGTACACACACACATACACATGATATATAAACCACAGGTATCCTTAATTCATCAGTAGGGCCTGCCACGAACAGCAACTGACAGTATTATATCTGCCAAATGCTTCATTACCAGCTTCACACACACAATATAATTAGGAGAACATATATTTATATGAAAGTGATACAGAACTTAATATTAACTTTCAATCAAAGCAAGCTATGTTAATATACTTAGATCAAAACTTATATTGAACCTGAAAATAAGAATATGTAATTAAATATACTGTTAAAAAGTTCTTGCAAAGATTATGATGCACTATTTCATCAGTGGGTACTCTTGCTATAAGTGATATTATCAGTTGTAAACCCATTGGTAGAAGCAGTGGTGTAAGTATGCCCCTGCAATTGTGTGTGTGTGTGTCCAAGGGTCTGACAAACTTAAGAATTGCCTATAAGGGAGGAGACATACATTTTAATTTGTTTAAAATAAAGGGAAGTTTTATTATTCTGTCAAGTTAATGATATCAGTCAGCCAGAATTGTAACTAAATTATAGGGAAATAAATGTAGGAGGCACAATTACTTTTTATAGAGGGGTGGGTGGGGCTTTTTTGTAGTTACACCACTGGGTACAAGAACAAATTAACATACATGAAGCCTTAGATGATATAGCTTCTTTGGTTTGTGAATTTCAAGTAATTCTAAAACGACCCAGTAAATTTTTGTTATATCATTCAATAGGCCTTTCAAACTTAAATGATTACATTTTGTCTCATTACATTCAACAGATGTGGCTACTATTATTCAAGTGTTGGTTTAAACTAAAAACAAAATGATTAGTATCATTCAGATTTTTTTTTATATATATATAAATGATCAACTAACGTTGCACACTGATGAACAAACAAACGGACATGAATTAATCAAATCGTTACTAAAGAGGGCAACCAGGAGGGTAAAGTTTGCTTTGATTCATATGATCTTGACCTTTACTGATAAAAGAAGCAAGATACACACATTTCAAAAAATTCTACAAAGGGTTTGCTTGAATATTACTATAATTTTTTTTTTAAATTTCACATAAATAAATCAGTTTTTCAGTAATACTCACTTTTGTTTTTACTCAACTGAAACAATTAACCCACAAGAATTTGAAATAACATTTCGTTAAAATCTATCAAACTTCAGATTAAAGATGTTCACATATACACATAGAATTACATTCCCATTGGATGTAACTACGATCCCACATATGCTTTTATTAAAAAACAGACACAAGAGCGTTATATTTTGCCAAATTTCATCGTTAGGGAAGTGGACAAAAACATCGTACGAGAAACAATAAAGAATAAAACTAATCCAGTACACTAAACAGCAGCAGCTGAAACTCACAGCCGGGACGTTGCCACATCTGGGGCACGTGTGACCCATCATACAACAGACTTGCTAGAGGAAATCTCATTTACTTATCCCGACATAAAAAACGTTTGGAACAACATTGGCTAAGCAGCACTTTTCGTAATCCATACTTTTTTTATACATTTTTTCATGGGAAATGACCCAGGAAGTAATTATGGTGATGCCACCTTTTTTTTTCTGATTAAAAAATACGCTGTCTTCGTCACATGGTAAAATAATTCAGATGAGGACAGCTGTAACTTCCGGTCCTACGAACTATAACCTAACAAATAGGACTATCACGCATATTCTAGTCATACCATACAAGTTACATCCATATAATCTCGAATTAGAACGTACAGTACAATTTCTTAAGTAATCGATTTCATAAAGGAAATTACACTCATTAACTAAACAAAAAGTAAAAAAAAAAATTTACGGAAGCTAAAATACCAGCAAGAAGAGTAAATCATGCGAGAAATATAACAACGTTATGAGGTTAGATAATTATTTTTTATTTATCTAAAGGTGGAGCTATTTAAGGCTTAGTATTTAAAGCTGTAAAATGATCATCTTCTGTTGTTTTATCAACATAAAGTTAGTTTAATGAGCCCATAACGCTAGAAAGAACAACGTAACAATATTCCGTATTGCATTCCACAACAATCCTGGCTATGAATGGTATTACCTACACATATTGTGTTACTTCAATACAACAAGAGTTCATGGGAAAGATAAGCTTATTCTGAAACTTTTGAAAACAATAATGGTTTAATGTATCCGGATGGTTTCGTGTATCCACTAGCATTTACAAACGAATAGCATTGACGTACTATGAACGCTGTGGCACTAAACGTTATACAAAACGTTGGAGTAGACATAATACAAATATCTCCTCCTAACCGTATATCCGGTTAGGTCTGGTATATAGGCTAAGCTACGTAAACACAGTTTGAACTGTGAGAATTATGTTTGCTAGCTTTTTTAGTTGTACGTTTTGAATCAGTTTATCAATCCAATATAGGAGAATTTCAGACTTATCTATAATGGGATTATTGACGGCCAAGTTCGAAGTTTCTACATTAAAAAACGCATTTTTCAAAACTTTATGTAAAGCAAAAAATTGCTAAAACATCAGTCCCACGTTCAAATGATTTTAAACCCATTATTTTCAAACTAACACATATTATTACTTTGTTTTGAGAACTATATTATTTGTCTATGTGCCTTAACTCATTCTGCATTTTTTTGTACAGCTAAAAATATGTATCAAGTAATAATAGTCGGATATACATACAAACACACGCAAAGATCCTCAGTAGTTGTTTTCCAGTATCAACTGCCAAACCAGCACTTCTACCTGAGACAATGTGTCCTTGACTTGTACTCTCAGTATTATTCATCATTAAATAATAACAACCTCGGGAAGTATGGAAAATACGAGGGAAATATTATGCCGTTTTAATTAAGCCTTAAATAATGAGAAAATTCTGAGTGGTGGATAAAGGCTCCGTTCCGGGAAGTCGTACTATTCTTGAATTAACAAAGCCCTTCTTTCTTTTTGTACTGCACTTTTTATCGTCCCAGTCACGACACAAGTCAATGGACTTCTAAAAGTTCATGTCTCATATCTCACCTGGCCGGTCTATCTGGACTCATTCATATTACGATACTTCTCAAGGAATTGCCAATACGGGTGACTTGGCTAAATAAAAGGAAACGTCTACGGCTCTATATACAGACTTGAGTAACTGCACCACACAATTTTAACATCAGGTTAACATAACAAGTTTCGAACCTTATTAGTATTATTTTTTTCTGAAATGAGAATAACGCTAGGGTTAGCAGTTGCGTCATTTAGTTCTAATATATCTGAATTTACTTCAAAACAATATTTTAAAAATATAATTGTTATGCAGTAATCTAATGTTAAGGCATGGGTAAGTTTTATAATGAACAAAATTTTATATGCAATACTTTTCCAGTCTAGTTATAACAAGGTCTAGTGATTACCTATTTTATGTGTTTCGTAACCACTAACGTAAACTGAACTATTTGAAAAAAAGAAGAAGTCATATTTGGATTTTCTTTGTTCGATAATCCTTATAAAGTTTATATATACAGAGATAAAGGAGAGGTGGACAAATATTGTCAAAACAATTCACGTACTATATTTTAAGTAAATGGGCAGAAATTCAATCGTGTTTTACATCATCAGGTTTAGTTTGTTTTGAATTTCACGCAGAGCTGCATGAGGGCTATCTGCGCTAACCGTCCCTAATTTAGCAGTGAAAGACTAGAGGGAAGACAGTTAGTCAACACCACCCACCGCCAACTCTTGGGCTACTCTTTTACCAACGAATAGTGGGTTTGACCGTTACATTATAACGCCCCACGGCTGAAAGGGCCATTTAAATCATCAGCTTAGTCTTGGTTATTTACTGTTCTACTATCCATATTTACATATTCTAACTAAATTTGGGTATATATATATAAATATATGCAGTTTTACTGACTAAGTTTTGTTTACATATTCTAAGACTTGGGTGTATGTATATACTACAGCTTGACTGACTATCATTTGTTTACATATTCTACTTAACATGTATACTGCTGAAGACGCACACGTGCGTCATAAGTACAAAAAAGTAAGATTACATGTTTTAGATACGTTATTATTTCTGTTGTTTAAATTGAAACACAACGATATTGCACTAAATCTTTCATCTGCACTTGTCATAGATGATGCTAAGTTTCGCAGCAGTTAACGTGTTAAGACATAAGTGTTTGTATATGCTACAGTTTTACATACATATTCTAAGACTTGGGTGCATGTATATACTATAGTTTTATTGACTATTTTCTGTTTACATGTTCCACTTAAGCCTTGGATGTATGATCTATAGTTTCTATACACTATGTGGACATATAGTTAACAAAATCACATAAATACTGATGAATTTAACTGGTTCAAAAGTGAGTGTTATTTTATCAAAAAATGAATAAATAATAACGTTTGGAAACAACCAAGACCACCATCAATCTAGCTAAAATCATCTCGCTGTTCAAGACTAGTTTATCTGAAAAGCGGAAAACGTTTACATGCTAAAGAAAGAAGGAGAAGAAAAAAAAAACTGTTACAGTAAGACACAGATTGAGTTCCGAATGTGACTTAACTCTCAACAAAGAATACTCATACGTTGTATGTTTTTTGTATAATCATTCAAATGGAATTTGGAGCAATAATTAATCAGTTGAATTTGTCAAACTGTGCTGATTAGAAAGTTAATTATTATATACCACTATATTATGTAACGTACTGACCAA